ACCTTGAAAAATTGTTATATCAAAATACATGGTTTTGTCATCATCAAAAAGGGGGAGATTGTTAGAACAAGATTTGGATTCTACAATTAATCTCTGGATTTTGGTGATAACAATACATATATTTTATATGTAAACAATTTTGTTTCTAATAGTTTCTTGAGTGTGCAGATGTTCTAATTTGATTCAGGACTGTTGTCTAAAGAATCATCAAAAATATATAAAGCACGCATCAGAAAGGCTATTGCATCCGCTTCTGAAGAAACATTAGTAGTTCTGAAGAATGCTGAATGTCCGCCAGAAAGAGGATCTCAACGTGTACTTCTCAATAAGTTTCTGCTTCAGAAGTTACATGTATTCTAGAAGAAAGGATTTCTGTTAGAGCTGCTGCTCAAAGATTAGAAAATAAGATTGCACCAGAAATAAGCTTTAACGTCAAAGATTGAAAGTCAAGATTTGTTCATCGGAAAAGGTGTTGCTTCTAATTTTAAAGGCAAAGTCAAGATTCTGAACACATCAAAGAAAAGCTTCTAGTTCCGAATCAGAAGTCAATATTTGTTCATCAGAAAAGCTGTTGCTTCTAGTTCTGAACACAAAGTCAAGATTCTGAAGACTCAGATACTTCGTGGAATATGCGCACATTACTTCACATCAGAAGTATTCCATCAAAAGACAAGATTAAGTCAAGTTAGATATTCTGGACTCATTACTATTCTACATCATATAGCCCATCAGAAGACAAGATCAAAATATGATATCTTCTCAAGTCAATCTACTTCATCAGAAGGAATATTTATCAAAAGACAGTATCACCATAAACGGGCACTAGAAGAGTTAGTACAAAGGTACAATTACACATTCTACTCAAATGAATGTACTATGTACTATTTGTCTCCCACGATCATTTCTTACCGTTATGGCAGCTGACAATAAAAGTGACGTGTGTACCACTACAATGGTCTACTTCCTCAACTCATATATAAAGGTTCAAGAAATTCATTTGCAAATTGAATAAAATAAGAAGAACTGGAGAACAAGAACAGTAACGCTGCCAAAATCAAAGCAAGAAAAAGAAAAAGATCAAAACACAAGAGTTGTTGCTTATTATTGTGTTGATATTATTATTTGCTAGAACACAAGAGTTGTTGCTCATAATTGTGTTGATATTATTATTTGTTAGAATATAAGAGTTGTTTCTCGTTATTGTGTTACTATTATAATTTGTTTGAACACAAGAGTTGTTGCTCATATTTGTGTTAAACAATATGCACTTAAACATTTATGTAATCCGCTTGTAAGAAGCAATATTTTAAACACATTTCTCAACTGTTGTTGATTGTCCTTGAGTGATCGGGTAGGTCAGAATACTCAAGAAGATTTAGAGAAATCTCCTTTAAGGGACCGGGTAGGTCAGAAGCCTTAAGGAGTCAGTGATTGTTATATCTCTTAGGGGACCGAGTAGGTCAGAATTCTTAAGGAATCACTAATAGATTATCATTGTTGTTGTTAGTCACCGGTGGGCAGCCCATGCCATTGTAATCTTTCAAGATTAATAGATTAAGTCATTTTCTAAGGCGAAATCACCTTGACGGGTGAACATGATTAATCTTTTCTAAGGTGAACCTGTATAAACCAAAAGTGTTATTATTTCTCTTCCGAAGCATTGATTCTAATTCTGATTGTTTGTGTAAAGCACTTCTAAGCGAAAAAAGTTTTTGAAAACCTCATTCAAACCCCCTATTTCTTGTGTTTTTCTCAACCTTCAAGTATTACAAAATATAACTACAACTTGTAGACATGATCATCAAACCTTTGAAGAAATATTTGATTTCTTTAGAGAAATGATGAGAATGAAAAAACTAAGAGATATGAATTAAAAGAAGTGTATTGTATGTAATTTGTAGTGGTGTAATTGGAAGAGGTAGTGGGGGTGTGTTGAAGGCCTCTGATCCGCCTATCGTCCTTTTCAGATTGTCTATTTGTTGGTTCGAGCTCCCCTCTATCAGATAAGGCACCCTTTCTTCAAATATGTCGCCTGAATCTTTCATGTCCCCGTCCATAACACATGATCGTGTGAGTAACGAGTATCTGGTCAACAAACGACGCATAGTGAATTGTGGGAATTAACTGCACTCCTTAAATTTTAGAGAATCAACTATCCACTATGGGAATAGTTGCTATATCCTTCGAAGTCTTAAATTCAAGCTTAAGACAACTATAAATACCTCAATATCACGATAGAAAAAAAGAGACTAGACAAAAAATAAATAGGTACAAGAGTTTTTCACTCCAAATGAACTAGTTAATTCTCAACCTTATAACAATCTTAAAACTTCTAAAAATCTTTAATCACTAACAATAATCACACATTTATAATTTTAACAAATACATAATTTATAATTTATTAGAATTTACTTGTGTTACAAGTTACTTCCTTCTACACAAATTGGTTGAAAACTATTGGGCAATTGCATAAACCTAGGAATTACTAGCAACGAGTGTAAGCCACTAAAATTATAGGATTCACATATGACAGGGTATAGTCCATTAAAACTAACTTTAGGACATAATAAAAGACTCATTTTCATCCTTTGAAATGGAGATGCTCTAATAGTTTTATTGACTTTTGAACATTTTTGGACCGTTCTACAAAGCATTGACATGGAGACAATGACACGTAACTATTCTAGTTTTTCTTGGCTGAATTATCAATGAATTTTGACCTTTATCTAAGTTTCTAGCTCTTGTCTTGAAAATGGCAGAATCTTGGCCACAACATAATATAAATATCTAACTTTTAATATTAACAGCTACCTATTAAAAGAAAACCTGCTTAACATTATTAGCACCTGGATGGTATACAGTGCCAAATTTTCTCCATAAAGAAAATAGAATGCATAATATATTATTTTTTTAAATATAAGAAATATCAACATTTTTTCTCCATATAAAGAAAATAGAATAGATGATATGTTATATTTTAAAATATAAAAAATAACATTTTTATAACCAAATATTTGTTGGTATGTTATATTGACAATATCAACAAAAAAAAAATGGTTCAGTTGATAATAGAATTTAAGATTGTTAGCAGATTGAAAATTATATTTATAATTTTGGATTGATATCAAACAATTTAATTTTAAAATTCATATTTTTTTAACTGGCCATTTTCAATCAAACAATCCTAAATATTATGAATGTTTAAATCCAATTATACCTATTATAGACAGTTCAGTTTCATAAATTTGAAAACTCTAACTTTTTTCCCTCAAATTTAATAAGCTGCCCCACCACAACCACTTAAACAACTTTTAAAAGAAAGGCCGGCTCAAAGGTCAAGATGATAATTGAGTATTTAGATTTTTTTAAAATAAATGTTTTAAATACAATAATTAAAAAATCTCATAAAAAAGATACATCAACTAATACATTTAACCAAAATAATTATGCATAGTAAATAAATTAAAAAGATAAATTTTAAATTAAAATATAATTTTTTATTATTATTATTATTATTATTATTATTATTATTATTATTATTATTATTATTAATTTCTCTAATTAATTTTGACAAAGTATGAGTCAATATAATAACAGTTTGATCAAAATAAAATGTTTCAATTTAATATAACACTTTAATGACTTATATGAAGAGAGTAAAAGTTTTCAAACTTACAGTTAAGAAAGAAAAAAGTCACGAAACAATTTATGGGGAGGTATTAAATGTCAACCCTTTGTTTTAATCAAATTTGTTATTGATTTCTCTCACTCATATATATATATATATATATATATATATATATATATATATATATATATATATATATATATATATATATATATATATATATATATATATATATATATATATATATATATATATATATATATATATATATATATATATATATATATATATATATATATATATATATATATATATATGATTTTTTATATATTATGTTTTATATTTAAAAATTTCATAAAAAAATAATTTTGAAAATAAATAGACTATTTGCTATGATTATTAAAATATTATCACAATAATAGTATCTTTTCAAAGATATTATGTATAATATCTAGAGATTATTATAATATTTTTCTACTCTCACTATTATTCTTAGTAAAAAAACCAAGTAAAATTTAACACTAAAACAAAATGATTTTATTTTTTATTATTAATCATAATTATAACAATCAAAAAATATTTTTCGTGTGAATCTCTTTTTTAGGAATTTTTAAATATTAAATGTATAGAAAAACATTTAGTTAATTTTATATAAAAAAATCTAAATATTGGAAGTCTTGTTTGGTTTTAAAAGTAAGTATAAAACAAATTATTTATCAAATTAAAGTGTTAAAAAATATAGTTATATTAAATGAGATGTATCGTTAAATCGGTATTTTTAAATAAAATTAATTTTCTTAATTAAGATTTATAAAGAAATTTATAAGAACATAATTTTATTACTTGAAAGATGACTAGACAATTTGTTCTTCTGATTATTTTAAAATTAATATTACTTTATAGAAATTTTATTTTAGAATTTTTCTTTCTGTCTTGAAAAATATTTATAGTGTAGATCATTTTAATTTTAAATAAAATACTAAATACATTTGATTTATATTATATATTCATATTCTAACTAAATATTAAATATATTTATAAAAAATATTTAGTAATATTTTATTATTATTTTCATCAATTTGTTTAACATTGTTATTAAAATATCTTAAAATTTTATTTTATTTATAATTTTAAAATTTTATAAATTAAAATTAAAAATTTTAAAATTATATAAGATATATAAATCCAATGAAAGCTACTTGTGAAGAAATAAAAGTGAGTAAATATTAAATAATAACCACCACCTTCATAAAGTGCTGGTTGAGGAATAAGGAGGCACATGCTTTTGCTTTTATTTTTTAAAACCACTAATAAAAACAAAACTTTATTGAATGATAGCAAAACTCTAACTACCACACACAAAATGTAGCTTCTACTTTTCCACAAACATATTAAAAAATATTGAGTAAGGATTTAATTGTGTTAAATTTATAAAATTTGAATCCATTATTTTTGGGTAAAAAATAATAAAATATTTTAATTTTTGGTGAGTTCTATTTATTGATTTGTTTTCTTCAATTTTCCCACATTTTTTTCTCTCTTTCACCGCTAAGCACTCAGTAGAAAGGAAGGTGCAACAAAGCTCCATGCTCTCAACCTTTGCACAAAACCATAGGAATAGGGTTTCTTTATAAGATCTGTATCCCAGTTGAATTTTCATGATGGGTATGGGAAATCAAGATGCAATTAACCAGTTGCACTCTTTGATGGACAATGGTATGCTTCAACAGATTCAATTTTCGTTTGCATTCTTCTGTTTTTCTATCATCTTTTCTTGATTGGTTACTGAAATAAAGTTTTTTTTTTTTTTTTTTTTTGTAGTTGATGAGCAGCAGAAGATCACATTCAAGGTTTTGTTTTTGCTTGATCTTGGTTTAGGAGTTTTGTGATTCGTGATCTATAACCTGATTTGAAAAAATATATATTTTTAACCTGATCTATAACCTTTCAGTTGCTAAGAAATTTTCTGGAGATGGGTAATTTTAAAGGGTGAATTTTGATGTTAGAGAGTAAATTATGCTAAATTTGGTGATGATGCATTTAAATAACAATATTTTAATGTATTTTCTACTTTTATTGTGTATTAGGCCTTTACATAATTTAAGGTATGTTTGGTTCCGTGGTGAAGAGAATTGATTTTAAGTGAATTGATTATGTAAAATTGATCTTGGTTGAAAGTGATTTGAAAGTGAAGTGATTTATGTTTGGATAAGTTTTTTTTGAAAGTGGATTGATGGGTCAATTTCGGTGGAAAAATCGTGTTTAGGCTCAAAAACTATAAATCGTAGCTTCAAGTAGAATTAATTCTAGAAAGCATAATCAATTCTTCTCGATAGCAAGTAAACATGTCAGAATCAATTTTACATATCTTGAATCAATTTTGGATGCTCTAAATGTGAAACCAACCATACACTTAACCGTTCATTTTTATGTAATTTTGAGTACTGTTTGGATGGACTTATTTGAGTTTGTCTACTACATGTAGGTATTTGTGAAACTGTTTTGAGAGATATCAATAACTTGTTTTCAGCTTATTTTAATAAGCTCTCTAGGATAGTTTATGAAAACAACTTATAGTTCATATGAAAATAATTTGACTTCGTTTTTTATTTGTTCTTGAGATAACTAATTCATAAGCACTTATATGCTATAAGTGTTTAATTAAGTTGTTTATTGAAATAGGGCCTTACTTAATTATATAGTGAGAGTAAATAACTTTTTGTCCCGAAACCTTTCTCTTTATATTTCAGAATATGCACCAGGGATATCCTTCTGAAACGTTAGGGCGGTTTCTCAAAGCTAGGGACGGGAATGTCGCCAAAGCTCATAAAATGGTTAGTTAAATCTTTTATGTTTGGTAGAATCTCTTGGATGAAATTTCAGCCATGTTGCCTCACTTTTGATCTTTGGATGTACATAGTTTTCTGACAGTTTAAACTGTTGCAGTTAATTGATTGCTTACACTGGAGAGTGGAAAACGAGATTGACAAAGTTTTAGCGGTGAGTTCTCTCATTCAATGCAACTAACTTCTTTTTCTTCAAAATTTATCTGTTTTTCCGGTTATATTTTCATGAAACTTGTTTGCTGATTTCTTTCATGGAATGGAGTTATGAATCAGATCATAATTCATAACAATATTAAATAGAATTATCTCCTTTTTGAGTAGCAGAAGCCAATCCCTACGGATTTGTACAAAGCCGTGCGAGATTCTCAACTCATAGGAATGTCTGGCTACACAAAAGAGGTACAACAAAGGACGAACAGCATCTTTTTACATCATCTAAAATGTTTCTATTTATGCACAATTTCTAATTTCTTTCGTTTTTCGGATGAACTATGCCAGGGCCTACCAGTCATCGCTGTTGGCGTTGGGCTCAGTACATATGACAAAGCATCCGTAAGGATCTCATCATACCGTCTCTTTTCATCACATCTTTAAAATATGATAGATATTAATACTTGCAAAGCAAGGCTTTACCTGAACCCTTCGGTGTTCAATGCCGGCTTGTGGTATCTAAACTCCGTAGAATTATCCATGTGATATTAAATTACGAGGTCCTTTCTTTTTCAGGACAAATACTATATACAGTCACACATCCAAGTGAACGAATATAGGGATCGGGTGATCTTGGTGAGTATCTAACTATTTAATCTATAACATAAAACAAAGCTTAATAGAAAAGCGAACAGAGCGACACGTTAGTGCTCGTCTTTCCACTAGTTATTCCTATAAACTCTCTCATGGCCTTTTTGCTTATTTGAAAATTTTATTTTAGCCAAATGCTACAAAGAAACATGGAAGATATAGTGGCACCTGTGTGAAAGTCTTGGATATGACTGGTTTGAGATTTTCAGCACTCAACCAATTAAGGGTATGCTAGCAAACAATGAAAAATGTTTTTATTTTTTGCCGCTTATCTCATTCTCTAAACTTTGTTATCATCAATGCTAATGTCACCGCAATTATAGTTGACAGTCCGTGTTTGATTGTCTTTTGCAGCTATTGACAGCTATATCTACAATAGATGACTTGAACTACCCGGAAAAGACCGACACATACTATATCGTTAATGCACCATACGTATTCTCCGCATGTTGGAAGGTTTGTTCATGTCTTAATGTTTGCAAGAGTTTTCACTGCTCACTTCTCCCCCTTTAATTTCATTATCATAATATCGAAATCGAAAGATTAACAACTGAAATCTTCTTACTTCAATAATAATTGGAAGGTTGTAAAGCCTCTTTTGCAAGAAAGAACAAGGAAGAAAATCCAGGTATTGCAAGGCTGTGGCAAGGACGAATTACTCAAGGTAATGGACTATGGATCTCTCCCCCACTTCTGCAAAAAACAAGATTCCAAGTCATCAAGACATAATGCAGTTGCATCAATTACCGAAAACTGTTTCTCCTTCAATCACGCATTCCATCAACAACTCTATAACCACGTAAAGCAGCAAGCTAACTCTGCGGAATCAACACCGCTAATGAGACAAGGATCTTTCTATGTAGACATACCAGAGCCAGACCCTGATGATGCCAAAATAGCCAAAACCATTGAAGTCGAGTTTCACAAATTGGAAAATCAGAACAATGGGACCATTGAAGTTGAGTTTCACAAACTGGAGATTCAGAAGAAAGGCTTCACCAACGCGCGAAACGGTGTTACTGTTAATGGACATTGAGAAAGCTTGTGAAGATTATGAGTCACTTTTATTTCTTGATTTGCTTTATGATATATATCTATTTGATATGGTAAGGTTATACCTGTTCTTTATTAGTACAAAGGTATACCAAGTTATTATTAGATGTAATGTAATATTGCAATGTTTGCATCAACTCAAATGCGGACACAAACTTTAATCTAATTTCTATAACTACTTTGGATGATGAGTTTATGATATGATATTTGTTTAACATGGAAAAGATGGCTTTATATTATAATTGCTATGATATAACTATTTAGATGCATTGTTCCTCGTATGAAGCACGTACATCCCGGAAAAAAATCACGACACAGACATAATTAATTAATTAATTAAACGTTATCACTAGTGTTGACGAAGGTGTATGATATCAACACACAGACAAACATTTTTTAGTAGTTATTATTCTTATTTGTAGAGTAACAATAGGTCAGAACGATTAATAGAGATATACGGTCTAATTTACATAGATTTAGGTTAGTTTTTTTCTTAAATAGAAAGTCTATGTTTTTTTATAAATCTATTTAATCAAAAAAACTAGGTCATATGCTATAAAAAATCTTTTAAATCTATTACCCAAGAATAAATTTATTATTATAATTATATTTTATTTATACTTTGAAATAAAATACAAAATTAAATCTTAGTTATTTTGAAGAATTTAGGAAGATAAGTTGAAAAAAATTTATGAATAATATAATTAGTTGTTTTCATGAGCTTTCTTAAACAAATAATATTACAAAATTTATGTTAACCAATAAACTTGAATAAATAAATACAAATAAATATTTAATCCTATTGATATTTTAATTTGTCAGTTTATTTAAATATTAATTGAATTATTTATTTATAAATATTCGAATAAAATAGATTTTTTATAGGTTAATAGATTAAATAGGTCTTCAAACCTAAAAATAAACCTACAGACCAATAATTCAGACTTAAATTTTGTAAATTTTAACAATTCAAACTCAAATTAGACAAAACCTACCTAGACATAACCTATTCTCACCCCCAATTTAATTTGAACTCAATTTTTATTTTGAAATTTATTTGAACTCAAGATTTACTCAAATGTTAAGACTTCATTAAAGCTTTAGTATATTTGTTTTGTATATGGTGTATTTCAGACTTGTTAATTATCATAAGACTTTTTTTTATGACGTTTTGGAAGTTATTAAATAGTTTTCATAACAAAAAGGTTGCGTGCAATAATTATAGTCAATAGTTTTTTTTTTTTATTTCTTCAAAAATATTTATTTCGTATATGGTGTATTTCAAGCTTATTAATTATCATAAGACTTTTTCTTGATGACGTATAAGACTTTAAAAATTATTAAATACTATTTCCATCCTAAAATATAAAACTCTTAGAATAAATTACGCTAATTAAGAAATTGATTAGAATATTAAATTTATTGACTATTTGTATAATTTTATATATTATCGTTAAGAGAAAAAAATAATTAATGTTCAAACAAGAGTATTTATTACATATTGTGAAAAAGATACAATATAATTAAAAGTATATTTGGAAAAAAAATAATTAATACATTTTCAAAGTTGAATAGGATCTTATAAAAAGAGACAAGAAAAATACTCAAAAGAGTTTTATAATTAAGAAAAGAGGTAGTAACTTTTAGAACAAAATGTTAAGGCGTGCAATGATTATATTGTCAATAATTTTTATTTATTTATTCAAAAGGATTAGAATAAAATAAAAGATAATAAATTCGACCGATTTTTGTTAACGCTGTCCGGTCAATAGAGTCTACTTATGCGACTATAGTGCATCAATAATTTCTTTGTTTTCTGTCTAATAATTAAAATTACAGCATTACAAACAATATATATATATATATATATATATATATATATATATATATATATATATATATATATATATATATATATATATATATATATATATATATATATATATATATATAATACTAC